CTAACCCTCCTAGCGGAGGCGGGTGCGCATGTCCGTCACCACCGCCTACAAGCGGTGGTAGCGGAGGATACTACCCGCCAACTCCAAGGACTCCAACACCTGTCATAGTCACTCCGCCTTCGCCTTTGGTGCCAACTACACCTCCTAGAAGTGGTGGACATGGAGGGTATTATCCTCCAACAACTCCAAGCTCTCCTTTGGTGCCTTCGCCTCCGGTAACGCCAATCGTTCCGACGCCACCTTATCTTCCTGATCCAAACACTCCTCCTATGCCTTTTGATCCTACCACGCCACCCTTCCCATGCACGTAAGTCCCCTTAAGTTGACCTTAATTTGAACATTTTTGTATAATCCCTTTTTAATTTTATTGCATATTAATGAGGAAAGTGTGATTTATTAACTAATGCCCTAAATATAATACGGAGCTAGTTAATATACAATTTAAATTCATTGAAGCGTACATTATCAGTGTATCATATATACCACGTAGATTTATTAGTTACCTATAGAAATGTTTGTACATAAAAATTATATAGCTTACAGTAAATAGTGGTAGTCGTGCATTCATAAATGCAACATAATGGAGACACGTAGCCACAGCCGTGCCCACACTTAATAAGCGAGAGTTATAAAATAAAGTAACCTAATGTAATTAATTACATTGATCGATTGATTATTGTAGGTGAAAATGTATCACAAACATTATTATTATTATTATTATTATTATTATTATTATTATTATTATTATTATTATTATTATTATTTTATTTTTTATTTTTTTATTTTTTTTTTATAAGAAAATATTATTATTAGTATTATTACTATATATACTTTGTAAATACTATAATATCTATGTAATATTACTTGTTAATTAATTAAAAATGTAACGATGACACAGTTATTGGGGAAGTCACCCAGGGTTGATATTTGGGGTACTAGGATGGTGGGCAACAGTAGGAGGAGTATTTGGTGTGACAACATTACCAGGACTAAGCTCAGCAACAAGTCTTCAAGAAATGCTAAACAACCCTAGAAATGATGGGTATGGTTCCCTTTACAGGGAGGGCACTGCCTCCTTCCTTAACTCCATGGCGTCAAAAAATTTCGCCCTCTCCACCAAGCAAGTCAAGGACTCCTTCCTTGCTTCCCTTTCCTCCGATAAGGTTGCCGCCGCTCAAGCCAAGCTCTTCAAGCTTGCCAATGAGAAGAAGCTCAAGCCTACTACTACCACGTCCAAACCTTGATTAAATTATTGTTGCATGCATGTGTGTTCTATAGTTAATCAAATGGTCGATGACATACTTTATTATTAATTACTAGTTATATATTATATCCATATCATCATTATGTTAAATTGTCATAGTTTCAAGGAGTGATATGTAAGCATGTGTTGTTTTGTTGTTTTGAGATCGATTAATCAAAAGACTTGGTGTAACGTTAGCACTATGAATCTATGATGAGTTTGATGCTTCAATTTGAAATTGTTGTTTTGTTGTTTATTAATTTTATTGTTTAGTTTCAACATCAGCAAACTTAATTATAAAATTGCATTACCATCATTTTGAATTAATAAATTTAGAAAAAGTTTGAAGTTGTACTTGAGTTATTATAGTAATTTAATATATTGAAATACATACTTCAATTGGTACATTTTATATTCTATATGTGACTATCATTTTTAAATATTTACAGTAATTAAAATGAAACATGGAAATAATAGCTAGAGTTTGGTAGTGCAAATCAGAAATTTTTAACCACTCTTTTGAACTCAAACATTATTTTAATTTTTTTTTAAAAGGAACATTCTATGTGTATATAAATTAGTAATTAAGCTTCTTTCATAAAAAAAAAATAATAAATAAATAAATTGGTAATTAAGCTAAGACCGAGCATAGAAAATTAAGGATTGAATATTGTTCTAAACTCCTAGTGAGATGTAGATATTTTTACTCCCTCTATATTCATTTAATTATTGTCTTTTGTCAAATGAACATTGCCAGCTAAGATTAATGATTAGTTGCACACTTTAAATTTTAGCCTTCAAATTAATTGCTCCGCTCTCAAAAACATGTCATTTTTTTCTTGAAACCATGTCCAATGTCCTTCAAGATTTACTTAAGAAATTAATAATAATCAAAATTATACTTCAGTGTGGCTTGGATCATATTGATTAGATTTATTTTGGGTCAATTTAGTTTGGGTCATATTCAGGTCCATTTATCAATTAAATAATCATGATGATATGATTATCAATCGTTTCATATATGTTATAATCAAGTTTTGTCATGAATTAATTTTCCATGGTTTGTATTACTGTAGAGAAGAGTATATATACAAAATAAACGGGCTTATAAACACACATAGCCCAAAGAGCTAACTATACATTACACTATTAAATACATTATACGGCCTAACACCCCCCCTCAAGTTGGAGAATGGGGATCACAAATGCCCAACTTGCCAAGCAGATACGAGAATTGTTGTATACTTAAGGCCTTAGTAAATATATCCGCGAGTTGATCACTTGTCTTCACATACGACGGACTAATAACCCCTTCCTAAATTGCGTCCCTAACATAGCGACAATCAACCTCAATATGCTTAGTGCGTTCATGAAAAACCGGATTCTGCGCAATATACAACGCAGATTGACTATCACAAAACAAGCTCATCGCACGTGGATGCGAGACCCCCAAACTGTCAAGTAGCTCCTTCAACCATTTCAACTCTGAAGTAATGGCATTGGCAGACATAGAACGATACTCTGCCTCTGCAGTAGACTTAGAGACTGTATGTTGTTTCTTGGTTTTCCAAGAAATCGGAGAACCACCAAGAAACACTAACCAACCGGAAACCAATCGTCTCGTCAAAGGACAACTAGCCCAATCTGAGTCACACCAACCTGTCAAATGTAGATCACAATCAGAACTCAAAAGTATCCCTTGACCCGGAGAACCTTTCAGATGGCGAACAGTACGAAGAGCGGCATCCCAATGATCCTGTCGAGGTTGTTGCATGAATTGCGATAATATATGAACTGTATAAGCCAAATTAGGTCTGGTGAAAGACAAATAAATCAAACGACCCACAAGTCGTCGATACATTTCTAGGTCAGCCATAAGAGGTGTCTCTGATTTTGCCAGAGTATGGTTCTACTCAATAGGAGAACCGACCGGTCGCACTCCTAATAAATCAGATTCTGAAATAATATCTAGAGTGTACTTCTGTTAACATAAAAATATGCCTTCCGAACTCCGTGCAACCTCAATACCAAGAAAATACTTCAGAACACCCAAATCTTTCATATGAAAACAGTCACTTAGATATGACTTAAAAGCAGAAATTGCAGAAGAGTCATTCCCAGAAATGATTAAATCATCAACTTATACGAGAACACTAAGATGAATAGCTCCATGATTCAAAGTGAATAAAGAGTAGTCAGAGTACAATTGCAGAAAGTCGTACCTTTTCAGATAGCCGACCAATTTAGCATACCAACAATGAGGTGCTTGTCGTAGACCATACAAAGACTTCTTAAGAAGATAGACCAAGCCAGATTGAGTACCATGGAATCCAGGAGGTGGCTTCATATATACCTCCTCATCGAGGTCGCCATGTAAAAATGCATTATGGACATCTATTTGGTGCAATTCCCAATTCTTTGCAGCCGCAACAACCAGAAAAGCACGAACGGTGACCATTTTTACAATAGGAGCAAATGTCTCGGTATAGTCAATACCTTCAACCTAATGATTCCCGAAAATAACAAGCCGAGCCTTCAATCGTTCAACTATGCCATCAGAGTTAAGTTTGATTTTATAGACCCATTTGCAGCCGAGAGCCTTCTTTCCTGGAGGTAATTCTTCCATGACCCAAGTTTCATTATCCTCCAATGCGGAGATTTCCTTTTGCATCACCTCTCGCCACCCCTCACTTTTCATAGCTTCTTTGAAACTACGAGGTTCAACTTCCGCATCAATTGCTGCAATAAAAATACGGTGTCGCAAGGAAAATTTGTCACAATTCACAAAATGTGCTAAAGGATAAGGAGTACCTGAGGAGCTTGGAGCGGACGATGAACTATTAGATGGACCCGAAAGAGAGACAGTATGTGCGACGTAGTCATGATGCCAACCCGGAGGATGCCTTTCTCGAAGCCACGACCAAGATCTTGAGTAGTATCACTGATTATAAGGGGCGAAGACGGGCTGCCATGAGTCGCAACAACAGCCGCAGAAGAGCTGTTGTCATGGTCAGCCTCCGCGAGAAAGTTGCGAGCAACGGAGGATATAGTAGCTGTGGCAGCAGTAGGCTCCGCAGGGGTGCTGCGGTGTGAGCTGGAAACCGCAAGGGGGCTGCGGTGTGGGTTGACTGGGGATTTGGGAGTAATGGAAGCTTCACTAAATTCCAATACCTCCTCCAAATCATCAAGAAAATCAACATCGACCTAGAATTATTTTGGGTGTCCTCATTAGAACCCGCAATGGAATTATTAGACTCATCCGAGACCCGAGAAGCAGCAAATGGGAATTCATTCTCAAAAAACTTTACATCTCTAGACACAAAAATATTACCCGTCTCAAGGTCATACAATTTCCAACCCTTCTTCCCGTGAGGATAGCCAACAAACATTCATTTCCGATTACGAGGTGAGAATTTATCATTTTTAGCTTTTTGTTTATGAGCAAAACAAAGAGAACCAAACACCCGCATTTCCTCAAAATTTGGTTCTTTATCAAACAAAATCTCATATGGAGTTTTATTTCCCAATAAACGTGAAGGTGTACGGCTAATCAAATAAACTGCCCCAAGAACACATTCACCCCAAAAACCAATATGGAGGTTTTCCTGAAACATCAAAGCACGGGCAACATTCAAAATGTGTTGATGCTTACACTCAACAAGGCCATTTTGATGGGGGTACCAATGCAAGAAGTTTGAAAAAGAATGTCACACTCATCAACGTAAGGAATCATACACTTAAATTTTGTGCCATTATTACTCCGCACGTACTTTATAGACACTTCAAATTGACACTGAATCATAGCGAAGAAAGAAGAGAAAGCGGAATAAACTTCAATTTTGTCATTCAATAAATATATCCAAACACCTCTTGAAAAATCATCCACTAAAGTCAAAAAATAGTGTGCACCACAAGTAGAAGGAGTTTTATAAGACCCCCACAAATCACAATGTATTAACTAAAAAATACGACTAGCTCTACTATCACTATTTGGAAAACTATCCCGTAAGTGTTTGGCTTAAGGACAAGTTTCACAAGCTTTGTTCAATGATTTTCTTCCAGAATTAGTATTAACAGCAGGAACTAACTTGACAACTCTGTTTGATGGATGCCCAAGACGCTGATGCCAAAGCTCAAAAGTGGAGACCTCCGGACCCGTCACCGCACATACTGTAGGAATCCGCCGGAAATAGTAGAGTCCATCTATTTATATTCGTTCACCTCCTCCAATCAGGCTCCCCGAGAGTTGGTCCTGTATAGCACAAAGAGAATCTGTGAATCGTACATAACAATGTGAGTCATCAATTAATTTAGACACCGAAATTAAATTGTAATTTAATTTTGGCACAAACAAGACACGTTCAAGAGTGATGCCATCGGCCAAAAACACACGCCCTTGTTTCGTGGCCATAGCTTGAGCACCATCGGGAAGACCAACAAGACACGGTAACATGGATTGCACATCCATTAAGCAAGACTCTTCACCGGTTACATGATGAGAAGCCCCCGTGACGATAATCCAAGAAAGAGAAAAATACTCACCACTCATCTTATCATGTCGCCGATTATTAATCATGTTTAACAAAATTTTAACATGCTCTGGTTGCAAATCTTTTAAATCAAAGAGGGTATCCTGTAAAGGCAAAGAAGAAACATCACCAATAGCATGAGCGCAAACTGCTGCCTTGCCGTGATCAGTAGCCACAGCAGCCGGTGCTAGGCGAGAAGCAGCAGCAGAATGCAAGGCAGGGGAGTGCGAGGCAGCAGGGGCTGAAGATGCTCCCCCCTTTTCCCCATATTTCTCAAGCCACCAAGGTGGATAACCATGAACAATAAAGCAACCATCATAATCATGACCTTGTCACTTACAATGAGAGCAAAATAGCCTCAACTTATCACGTTGCACAAAGAATTGCTTCCCACGATCAGGTAGAGCAAAGACGTGAGCCTCAGCCTTATCTTCATGGGATTTGGTTTGTGCAATGTTACGAGAGCGCTCTTCTTGAAGAAGGGCCTGATACGCACGATCCAGAGTTGCGGGAGGCTGTTGTGAGAGCAAGTTAGTTTGAACAACCGCATATTTAGCATCATCAATGTTGACAAGAAATTGATGCAATTTTTCCTCATCCCTATCCAATTCATACTTAGCAGCCACATTGCAAGAACAATTACCACAGTCACAACCATGTGGTGGTTTGAGGCGCACCAAATCGTCAAAGAATCCCATCAATTGATTATAGTAATCCTCGACAGACATATTTTGCAATTGCTTGCAATTAATGATTGAAGCCCTTAACTGTTGTAGACGCGGACCACTCGCCTCACAGTAACGCTTCTCTAAATAATCCCATGGCCGCTTGGCCTCATCAAAGAATGGAATTGAAGCAGCAAGTTTCGGCTCAATAGCCCTCAATATCCAAGACACTAACATGGAATTCACCGTATCCCAATCGAGCATCTTCTTCTTTTCGGTTGGTTTGGAGATGGTGCCATCAACGAACCCAAATTTTCGCTTAGATTTCAATGACAAAGTGATTGCCCTAGACCATGATAGATAATTGTCACCCTTCAAGATCACATGAGTAATCAGATTGCCGAGTTGATTGCCTGATCCAAGGTAGAAAGGAGAAGAAGGATCAATCTTGCCTTCGTCACCCATGTCGATTAGTGAGAAGAGAGAAATTTTTTTTAGGGTTTTAGGGTTTAGAATGTAGAGGCTCCGATACCATGTCAGGAATTAATTTTCCGTGGTTTGTATTACTGTAGAGAAGAGTATATATACAAAATAAACCGGGCTTATAAACACACATAGCCCAAACAACTAACTATACATTACACTACTAAATACATTATACGGCCTAACAAGTTTAGTTTAGTTTAGTTTTAACTCGATAAACTTCAGTTTAAGTCAGATTTAGGTCTTGATCTATAATTTTGAACACATTCCACAGAGTCACTTTTGCCGGATTTAGTTACACAGTTACAGTAGATAATATCTTAACCTTAATAGAGTGCAAAGACAAAATTATATACTAACTCCAAAAAAGACAAACAATTTAACAAAGGGTGACATTGTGACAAGCTAGCTAGATAATGCAAATCTTATGAAAGAAACCAAGCAAAATCATGGTAAATAGCATTAAATTCCCATAAATGAGATAGGAACCATCTCTATTTATTACAAATGACATGTTTGAATTCTGAGCATCAACGATCATACATTTATATGCACCAACTTCCCACCAAAATTAAATTCAATTTACATAATAAATGTGCTTCGAATATACAGCAGAGAAGACCTGCACATTCAACCACAACACATGCAGAGTGTGTAAATTAATGTAAGTAATTAATGTAAATGCAATAATACGGAGTACTACTTAAATAATCCTTCCTCGTTTGTAGTTTGTGATGCCTTTGTGGTTGATTAGGAGTTTAGGACAAGAAACAAACGGAGTACTTTGTATATATACTTCATCGTTTCCAAAAGTTTAATTAACTTTTCGTTTTGGAGTATTTTAAAAAGTTAAAACTTAATTACTTTGTTTGGTTATTGACAAGTTTTTTTTTACTACCTACACCTCTTACCTCACTATATATTGCTTACTATGACTATTATGTTGTTGTTCCTCACTATTTCCAAATACTAAGTTTAAATAAGGGTTAATAAGTTCTAGTAAAATAAGTTCAGGTAAAAAAAAATTTAGATTTATTCTAATAAGGATCAAATAAGTTCATATAAGTGAAAACATAATGTAAACAGAACGCACTCTATATCCACATGTTACATAAACCCACATTTTATATACATCCAATAATCCACCTACCTTTTACATTCTCTCTTATTCTATCAACTTTATTTTCTTAGCTACACATACCCACATTTTCCAAAGTGAGTTAAATTTTAAAAAACGGAGGTAGCTAGTATGAATAAATGCAAGAACAATTATATGATTTAGGCCCTGTTTAGTTCACCTTATTTTTGCTTATCTGATCTGATCTGATCTTATCTGGTCTGGTCTGATTTGATCTGATCTGGTCTGGTCTGATCTAATCTTATTGTCTGATTTGACCAAACTTTGACCTTAAGTGTACGATAATCTGTAAGGAAAAAATATATCAAGTGGAATCTTGTTAGATCGATCCGTAATAATGTGTATTTTATTAATTTGTAATTTTTATAAATTTTTTCATTACGAAATTAAAGATATTTAGCTATAAAAAATTGCACATAAAATGATGATATGATCTGAACTTATTTTTTCTGATCTGATCTAATCCGCACTTAATTTTTCTAAAATAAGTAAAAATAAGTTGAACTAAACAAAGCCTTAGTACTCCTTAATTAATTAAAAGACAGCGAACTCCCCTGGATAGTTGATAAGATGACTGGAAAAATCCGATTTAGATTTCGAATAGCATAGACACAATAATTTTATATGACTCAAATTTGAAAATAGACCTGACCCGATCTCACCTCATCGAAAATCCAACTCAAATATCCGAATCGACACCTTTAGTGCTTTCTAGGAAGGAACTCAACCCAAACTTTGGATTCCATATATGCAACAAATTACTCCAATTAATAATGTCGTACTACCACAGTTGTATACATTCATTAGATCTCTTACCCGACATTGCATTGCCAGATGAGCAATGCTATCCCAACAATGAACAAAATCATCAATGACAATCATGAATTTAATAGGCATGCATTAATAGTAACAAGTACATTGATAGTATGCATCTATAATCTAAATCAATAAATTTATACAATAAAGTTTTGAAACAATTTTTCATTAATAGTAACAAGTACATTGATAGTATGCAACTATGCATCTATAATCTAAATCAATAAATTTATACAATAAAGTTTTGAAACAATTTTGATCAATAACCACTTTGGAATATGAAATTTCCTTCTCATCCAACAACCACATTTGAATGCCAACAATGGGGCTACAAGGTTTAAGTGTAGACAATTTTGTTTTCACTACACTAATTTATATTCAACTGACATTATTGTTATTGAATGATTAAAACTGAATTAATTTTATTGTTTGAAATAAGTTATGCTTATTAAAACTGAATTTTATACATACTAATGATTGTTGAAAATTAATTTTTACTGCAGAGTATTATTTTGTAAGTTGAAGTGAAGAGGTCTTACGTCTAGATCTTAATTTACTGATTTTATAATTTATGTAATCATTGATCGTTACGCAATTCACTCAGAAATTATTACTGTGAAACTAACATTATTTAATTAATGTTAGAAAAGCTCGAAATTCATATTAATTAATTTTACATATACGAGTAAAGGGATCAGAGGAAGTTCAAATATCAGACATCAAATCCTCAAGTTAGCTTTATGATATACGGAGTAGATATAGAAAGGCGCAACTGCATAACACAACTCCATAGAGAAAAAAAAAAAAGTATATTTACAATCATTTTTTCCTCTTCAGTATTTCACAAAAATTGTTTTTTTTTTTTTTTGAAAATTTTCAATAATTTAAAATACAAATGATGATTGATGAATAAGTTTTTTTTTTGTTGTTGTTTAGAGAGCCACAAGAGCAAATAATGAAAATCGATCCTAAAATCCCCTATAAACGGGAAGGAAGCTCTAGCCACTTGACTACTTGAGCTATTCTTCACTTTCATGAACTAATAATAAGTTGCGAGGACAACATTACAGTACAAAATAGTTAAATTCTCTTACAAAGAAAAAGTTACTAAATATGCCATTGATACTCAAGAAGGAATGGAGCCTAAAACAGGGCCCATAGGATTTAAAGCCCTGGGCCATCGGCCATGGGCCACTGATCAACAATGTGGATCACTCGATCCACAAACAATCAATTCACAGCAAATAATAGATAAGCGAATTTAACATTTCAGCAAATTTTTCCATCTTTTAGAATGTGGTGATGGAAATGATTTGCTGCTAATTGGGGGACTAGGAGCCTGTAAGGTAATCGCGTTCGTTTTGAGCCCAGTCAGAATAAGCAGCACGCCCTTCTGAAACAAAGTTGATCATTCATCAGGTGTCGCGCTAGACTTGTTTGCAGATTTCTTTCTCATGGTCCAGAATGCTGCGAAATACCGGTTCTGCCCAAATTCAAGAATGAGATTAGTTTAGTCTAATAGTCTCCATACATTTGTGCCCCTACACGATCCACAGTAATGAAATGCACCAAATGTACCCCTTAAGAAGTCAAAAGTATACAATTTTTTTTTTTTAAAAAAAAAAGGTATATTTAGGTTTGGATAAAGGAATTATAGACATTGCACCGGCAGTTTCCTAACTGTTAGACAAATAGCCGGACTTTATACATATCACACTGTAAATGTTACCTGCATCATAGACCGAACATTTGTTGTATATGTCGTCGAGATAGTACTTTCCTTCTGAACATTTAAACAAAGAAATTATGTTACTAGATATTGATTGATGCAAAAATAGGAAAGGAGAACTTTTTTTAAGCTAACCTCTAAAGTAAATCCATAGTGGAAAGCCACCTTCTTCACGTCTTCTAAACTTAATTCTATGGACATCTCCTGGAGAAGGGGTGAAAGATTGGGGAGATAGTGATTTATTTACGCATATTGACAATCATATATGCATGGGAGACAGGTGCATATCAAAACAAGAATAGAATGTCAAGCTTACATTTTGCCCATATGTATCCGCAAAATGATAAAGCAGCGGCCCAAGATTAATCCACACCTATTTCAGCATCAACTCAATCAAATGTGTTGGATAAGAAATATGAAATAAAAAGACATAGGAAAGATAGCTGGAGCCTCACTCCTCCATCTTTAAGGATTTTCGATATTATTTCAATGTACTCTACAATGTTATGTGCTGTGTCAATGAAAAAGCACGTAACTACAGCATCCCAGATCCCTGCAAAAAAAATGCAAGCAATCAAGAGTCGTGATATAGGATATAGCATATATGATATTACCAAAATGTTAAATGTCACATGGCTTAGTTTCTCAACCTCAATTCAACTTCTTTTTTTTTTTTTTTTTTTTTTTTTTTTTTTTTTTTTTTTTTTTTTTTTCCGGTGAAACAACCTTAATTCAACTTGAGCTTAAAAACAAGGGAAGGAATGTGAAAAATTGTCCCCATAATATATCGAAAAATACAGATAAAAAGTTGAACAAGATTTCAGAAACTTCATTTACTCCTGTTTATTTGGTTATATTTAAAGGTACACGAGCAGGAACCGGTAGCCTGAGCCCTAAAATTGTCCATGCCAAGGGAAAACAGATGCACAGGCCATGCTCAAAGATTCCACAATCACCCTGTATATAAATATCACATCCCATTCCAACACATAGTCCCATCAAACCCACTACCTTAGCACATACTACGCTACTTGGACTCTTCGGTTACCTAAAATAACTAATTTAAACCCTAACACTCCGACATGGGAATGGAAATGAAAAACTTTATTTGAGACAAAAAAACAAACTTCATTTTAGACTCAAAAACTTGGATTTGTCAAGGAAACTTAATAAAATAGCTGGGTTAACACTCAGACATGTACCATGTTTAACAAGTATACTCTTCCATCCGTCCCTAAAAGACTTCCCCATTTCCCTCCTTTTACTTAAGAGTTGTATTGAACTAGTAAGTAGTTCTGTCCTTAGGCATCTGGGGGTATGGAATAAAGTAGAGAGATTGTAGCAGCCATGGTAACTAAACAGAAAATGGGGCAATCTTTAAGGGACGTGAGAAGTAATAAAATATCAGTGGGCAGCGGGAAAACTGTTCAACTGAGCTACCCTTTCCTTCCAACTATGTTCTCTATTTAAGACATAGTTGCAAGTCAGTTACACTAAATACGATCTTTGAAGACTATGGAAGTGGTGGTGACCAAAGAATGAATGGTGAGATTCAGGAAATTTATGCCTCTTATCAAAGTAGCTGATTGTACTGTGTCTATTTTGTCTAGTAAAGCAAAAATGAAGCTTCGTAGATGCAAAGAGTGCCTACTGTGGGGTTTGTTGCTGAGTATTTCAAGTAAACAATATAAGGAGTTGGGAGTACTATTCCCAAGAAAACTTCAAGAAATAAAAAATATGATTAGACAATTCATAATCTGATAGTATGTATTTGGCATGATGAATAATGATAATTAGTGCTAGCATAAGGGTCAATCAATTTTTTGGGAAGTATGGCAATCTTCCAGGGGTTGAAGACCTGTTGTAACTTTGTGTTTGGCTTGGCACTCCCCTACGTTTAGGTTTGGGCTTGGCCTGAGCAAAAATCCTGAGTCTAGCTCGTAGAACGTCCAGCCTTTGGTTAAGGTGTTTTCCGGTAAAAAGGGTTATTCTTCAGAGTCTAGCTCGTAGAACGTCCAGCCATTGGTTAAGGTGTTTTCCGTAAAAAGGGTTATTCTTCAGAGTCTAGCTCGTAGAACACCCAGCCTTTGGTAAGGGGTCCTTAAAACGTTTTCTTGTAAATAGGGTTATTGCTTATCGTTTGATACATAGGGATCCACCCCCCCCCCCCCCCCCGCCAGGAAAGAGATTGTTAGTAAAACCCAAGCTGATGCAAAGAAGACTGAACTCGAGCTGATAGAGAGAGACAGGTTCCTTATTAAAAATTAAACTAAAAGTTATAGCATATTGTACAAAGGACAAAGTTGCTGCCACAAAAAAGTCGCCAAGGTGTAAGGGAACACTTTCTCAAAAACTCCAAACAAAAACCTCTCTTTAATGCAAAATCAGTCTATCAATATGTCATAATATGCATTGAGTTACCATGTTAAATTTATTTAATTAACACTTTGAAGGTTTATATAGTTTCTTCTAAAACATACATATGGATCAAAGATAATGGTCAAAATTGACAAGGTTTGACCCAAAAAACTCAAATATGACCAATATTTTAAGAAGTAAAACAGTATTTCAATTACCTTCTTGGCCTGGATCACTATACACTTCAACAAAGTCCCCGCCACACATGGAAAAACCTTCAGTTATTCCTACGCTGTTTACTCAAAAGTTAAGCACAACATTTGAACCAAAAACAGCATCAGTTAGACACAACATAGATAACTTTTCTGAATAAAATCAGGTCAATAACATGATTACAAATCTCCAAAACTTTTCAGTGGAACAATTTTGTTAAGAACTGACATATTGAATGGTAATATTGATTGATAGATTTGTAATTTTAAAAATTAAAAACAATTCTCAATTTTACAAGAGGCTTGAATTTCTGCTAAATAAAACTAAACCTTTACACAATATTTCAGATGCTGATTCCCCTTTCCTTTTTCCTTTCGAACTATAACTGATATATTCTGTTACAAGCTAACATCTAAGGATTAACGATGATATTCCTACTGTGCCCCTCCCATTAGGCATTTAGGCCATAGCACATTTGCTTGTTGCTTCGTATACAGGAAGGGAAAAAATATTACTTACAAAGTAATACAGAGAGATATACTTTCGTCAGCTTTGTATCACACCCATATATCAAATAATATGCCTACCAACAAATGAGTTTGGACAACAAAATAAACTACAATTTTGAAGCACAGCTTCAAATATGATGCACTGGCATACATATACATATATATACATATATGGATGCTTTGATTCCCCTAGGTAAAGCAGAAAGATAATTATTGCCTATTGCTTGCCAGTAGCCACATAGGATAGGCTTTTGAGCAAGAACTCCATCAAAAGCATACTTTGATAGGAGCACATCGAAAACCATCACCACTGTTTCTTACATTGTAGAGGAACAGTAAGAGTTTGGCATAATCTTTGTGAATGACTTGATATTCCAAGGTCATGATATGATTGAGGTTGAATAATTTGGGTGGCTTTCTGAAGATATGAAGGTTAGGAACGTATAATAGAGCAATTAGTTGAAAAAATTGTTGATTATTTAACATATCTCCACCTAGACGACACGACACACAACTGCAATCTACAGAGTAATTTAGATTTTAGAGTATTCAAACTACATATCCAAGAATCTAGATTAACTTGGCCAAAGCTAATATAATATTGCACAATATAATCATAGCATTGTCCTCTATAGCTATGAGACCAGTTTTGTGTTTGGTGTGTAATGGCCCGGCATCCTGAGTCTTATTTTAGTTAATGATTCATTGACAAAAATACAATATCAATGTATGGAAATATTATTTAATAGCTTTCTAAATACATTGTAGAGTTGTTGACCACCAAAGAAAGGATCTGAGACAATTTTACATTTACAACCAGTCAACACCTGATCGTGATAGTCAAGTAAGTTAATACGCATATATAATCTTCATACCACAAGCTGCAGGATAGGAGACATAAGAGTAAATCTAGGACTTGTCATCAATAAATCTAAACATTACCTAGCAGGAAGAATGTCGGGAATAGAAACAGGACGAAGTTGGTCCTCGTCTGAAATTGAATTGCAATTGCTATGGATCCAAGGGTATATAGTCCATTCACCAACAGATTGAGAGCTGAAATGAAGGCCACGCATGATATATGTGTAATTAAATGGAAAACTGTGCCAAAGAAGCTGGAACAAAAAATTGAAATTACAATGGAAACTTACTGGTTGAGAATAAAGCTGGAGCATATCATCATGTAGTATGAAAATTCATTACCCTGGCATACAAAGCCTGTTACACATTCATCCAATCATGTCAGTGACAACTTTACATATTACAAATTTGAGGAACTATAGAACTTCTACAGACCAAGACGTGAAATGTCCAATGCCAATCTCCCAAGTCCAGCACCAGGAACCAGGCAGCAAGGAAGACTGTAAGCAGGCAGGTAATTAGGAAAAAGGTTAATGCCAAATACAACAAACAAATATGCAAATACAACAAACAAATATGTTTGAACATAGAATATGCAAAATCTAGCCATTCTACTCATAAGGAAGGCCGTACGAAAAACTAAATGTATAAAAAGTTGCACCTCATCAGCAAAAAATAGCTAAAGCTGTAAGGAAATCTTACCTTTCCTTACTGCGCTTGGGAAACAATCTCTCAAGCTCCTCAAGAATGGGCAGATAGCATTGATCACGCTCCACTTGCCCCTGTTACACATGACAGGTTAGTATGCAGAGGGAAGCATCCACGAAAAAGACAACGGAAGAATCAAGAAAGGAGAACATACCTCTGCTCCCCAATCTCTAACTATATTTCTTATGACGCAGCGAACCTTTAAGAAAAAAAGAAGTGAAATGATATTCATAAGAAATAAAATAGCTTAATGAACTTAGAAGTAATCTCCAGATAATTATAATAGGAATTAGTAGGGCGGGAAGACTGCAATATAATAATGATATAACCTGAAAAAAAAAAAAAAAAAAAAAAAATTAAAGTACAAAAAATGGGGAAAGAAATTAACATCAAAACAATATCCAGTAGCAACAGAATTCCACCCAAACCAAACAATTAGGGTTATGAACACAAATTTATGATCTAAACCCCAAAAATCACCAAACTCGAACAATACCAGGAAATTGAGTAAACTCAAGTCGGGTTTCACCCATCAGGTTTAGAGCCCATAGAGGCCACCAGATAAAGGCCAAAATAACCCTAATGTGTGTGTTAGATCCTCCCTAATACCCACCACACCTTCCCATTTTTCTCTCGAATGCCGTTTATCACTCCTACAGAAATCACTGATAAGATTTCATTAGAGCAAATGGGCTTCATAAAACCTGGGTGTTAATTAAGAGTCGAACCTAAAATAAACAATTTGATCAAATGGAACAAACAATACACCAATCTAGAATCGCAGGTTGGGAGAATAACACTCTCACCTACTCACATAAGTGTTTTACCACAAAATTTTACAAGTATCAAAATTTTACTAGTATAATTCTCAATCACGCGTAAATAAATTAACTTCCTAAAGTCCTTTCTAAAGGAAACAAAGAATCCCAAAGGATGAGGATGTAGCATGTAAACATGCTCCTTCAGGTTCAAAATATATTTTTTCATTTGCTGAAATAAAAGGATTGGTTGTTTTCTAATTATTTCTATTATAACATAATTTTCAAATTTCAATAAACTTTTCACTTACATTATAATTTTTAAAAAGCAAATTAATTAGAATAACTCAAGGTTTCATTCTATATGCATTCATAAAACCAGACAAATTTGGAGAAAAGCAAATTCCAGAATAGATATGGGACAACCGTCAACGTGTTAAATTTGTAATTTTGTATGCAAGTACAGAGTCACGGAGGTCAGTCATACAAATGGATCAATTGGTGGTTTTAGCTATAACTCATTTGATAACCAAAAAAGAAAATGGTGGGTTAGGTTGCAATATGATTGCTTATTGCTTTGACACCAACCAAATGTAGTCATGTAGATGGGAGGAACGGCTTTTAGAATGGTCCTCAGAAGTTAATCACTATTTTTGCTTCATAGGTCCTAATACATATCAGAATATAGTATATTGTCTAAAGACACAAACAAACATTTTGCTTCAACTGACAAGGTTCACAACCATCTGGCATCAATATAATGAATTTAACTAATAAAAATACCTTGTCAACATCAACTAGTGGCACATTCAATTGCAACGATGAATTCAACCAATCACAAGAAGATGACGATGCCTGCAGAAAATTATAACAATTGTCACCAGCATATAAGCAGCAAAGAAATGCAAAAGGCAGAATAGTAAGCCTGCAAGAGAGCAGCTTCGATTAAAACTATACCCAGCTTATCAACAGATATAGTAGAAAAGTTGGCCTTGCAAGGCCCCTTTTTAAAGTAAACAGAGAAAAGTTCAATATTGAAACCGAGAGAGAGAGAGAGAGAGATAATGAGCATATTTCTAATACATATGTGCCATGCTTTCAAGGGGCAGTAGTGACCACCTCCTTCCTGCATACCCTTTCCTTAGCATGCTCAACAACCCCTTTAAATGGACCCCATTTCTCGACACAGCTTGAGGAATGCTGGAATATATTATTATATAAGAACTGTATATGACACACTCAGCAATGCTGGAAAATATTATTATATAAGTTATATAATAATAATATATTCATCTAAGAGCATCTTTGTTCTTGTGTTTCTCTCATTCTATAAGGCTCTCCTTTTCTCTCCAGAAAAGAAAGACAAAAATGGACACAATGACAGTTGCATGTTCTTTCCTCTCTTATCCAAGACTAAAATATGAAAATTGAGAAAAGAAAAGGTTAAGCCTTTAACATTTAACTTAGAGAAAACGCAAGAAGTCTGCCAGAAGATGGAATAAAACACATGAAAGTGCAGCTACAATCGCCTCTGTAGACACAGCATTATACCAGCCCACTATGTTTCAACACTTGTATAATACTCCCTCCGTGTTTTAATAAGTGTTACACTTTGACCGACACATAATTTTAGGCAATTCAATTGACTTAAATAAAATAAGAGGTAAGTGGGGTAGTTGGAGTATTAAAAAATTACAAAAGAAAGATAGTGATGTTAATAATTTATTGAAAAGTAATGAATGTGAGAGGAAAGAAATAATAAGAAAAAGTAGTAGTGGGTTTGGGTGGGGACCATGAGAGGAGAGAGATATAATATTAAAATGTAACTTTTTGCCAAAAAAGAAAGTGTAACACTTATTAAAACACGGCCGCATTTAGTAAGTGTAACACTTATTAAAACACAGAGGGAGTAGGGATTTTTTATTTTTTTTGTTCCAACATGCGTCATCACCCTAGAAAATAAAGTTGGGAAATTTATTAATGTGATTTTTGGTGATTTTGTTCCTGACACCTGTCAGAAAGAATGGGACTGAAGATCCAATAGTTGTTGAGTCACATAAATAGCCACAATGCAAGACTAACATAGTCAAGTACACCAAAGAGTGAAGATCAATGCCAAGAGATATTGCCAAAAACAAAGTCAAGGAAACCAAGTAAAAATTTGTATGTTGTGGATTTGGTTTCAATACGAAAGAGAAATCATAACTTAAAAACTACAAAACACAACTAGCCTAGCTCTTGGACATGGTTTTAAGACTTTTAGCCCTCGTAAATGATGGCGCTTTACAAGTTGTGATGATAGTAACTACAAGGAGTATATATCATCCACCATATATACAAATAATTTGCTGATAGTTGAAAAGAATAAATACCACACATAAAATGACAAGGAAAATAGGAATGCAATGGAGAGGCTTGCTACTATTTGTCACAAGGCAGACTTGACAGAGATTTCAAAGAGGTGACAAGAATAATAAGATAAACAACTTGAATAAATGTCCAAATTATAAAAAAATATATATTGTGTAGACAGTAATTGAGTAAACTTACATTGCCATTTGAATCAACCGGTCTAAGTTGTCCTTCACTTCCCTGACCACCAATGGCATTAGCAGAACTAAAACCGGCTTCCCCAAACTCCAGTTTAGGTTTGAGGGCTGGCAATCGCTCTCCCTGTTTGTTATCTACATTAAGTCATACTTCTAATAGTAACTCAAGGGAAACACGCTTTACGAAATACATAAGAATGGAAAGAAAATAAAAGACAAGCCACAACTCCCATGGACCTTATCACTAACAGGGTAAAAGGGGCATTGAAATGACCTCGGTATCTGTAGTTCCTCTAGCTGATCTTGGCATGTGATCATTTTCCGTATTACAATCTACTGGGTCTTTTGCTGATCTCGCCATTCCAGTCGAGTTGTGATGACTGTCCAAGGAACTCTCATCATGACGATGATGGTGCTCATCTGGGCAACATTCGAGATGCTGATCTTCACATATATCTACATCCATGCTCATATCTAGTGGAGGCTCAAAGGCCTGCAATGAAGAAGTTACAGTAGATCAGCACAATATCAACAACTTCAAAAGAGAATAGAAAGTGCTGAGACAAAATGAAGCAAAGAGGTTAAGGGGTGAATATGCACATTACCTGAAGCATGTTTAAAATAAAATATGTATTCACTGATATACACCTGCAACAAGGCAAATAGATTTATAACTGATGCTCAGTGACAAAGTCTGAGAATATCATAAAACAGATTACAAGAGCCAAAAAAAATGAAAAAATGACCAGACACAACGTGGCATGGCAAGCTCCTGTAAAAGTGTCTGAATAACAATGCTAAAAAACTTGAAATCTTGAAATGTTCACAGTTATCTCGCTATAAACCCGAGGCACTTAATGCTCCCACTGTGAACATCATATGCAAGAACTAGATGTGTTCATGAGTGAAGCCAACTGGTGAGCTACTCCAAGCCCCAGTTAGTCAAGTAGCAGTTAAACTTGAAGCTCAGTATCCTGTAGACTGGTGTATCTAACAACATTTTCACGCCTTTAAATTCTGGAGATCAAAGTTTCTTATTCAGACTGCCAATTAAAAATCAATACATAAAACTAAAATTAGTACTCCCATACAGAAGTATCCCCTTTGTCCCACATTATCCTTTACGCTTCCATTTAGGAAAGGTCCCCAGAGATTTTATATCGCTCACTTACCACAACTAAAAAATAAGGGTCCCACACTCTATTTCATTCAATATAAAATACCCATCCTATCACATCTACAAGCTGGATAAAATGAAAATTAATACATAAATAACAACTAATTGCCTAAAGCTATGTGCCATGATCAATTCCAAGACCTAGACCGTCTGGAATAGGAGCAAAGCTTTTAAGATTTTGGTCCTCTTATCCTCTAGCTTGATATTTTCAAATTGTTTACAGAACACCAGTCCGCTGAAGAATAAGGTGAGCCAAAGCTCATGAGCTGAGTCATATCAATCAAGTAGAATTTAAGGGATATTCTGACTTAGTGAGCTTTGAGAAGTGGTCTTAATTGACCTCAGCGATACTCAAGATTAAATCAAATCAATAACACCAGTAAACCCTGTCTTTGGGATGAAAAAATTTCCCAACCAGTATACATTGTGTACATGAACAAGTTATAAGAGCAGCCTTAAAGAAAAGCTGCAGATTTACAAACTCAAACCAATTACATATAGATTCAAAAATCTTATAAAATAAAGACATAACAAGAAATTTCGCCAAAGTTTCCGCAGACCGCAAAATCAGTATAAGTTAATTGCATTCGGCTAAAAGAAAGCTGGTTGATACATGGTGGCAAAATCTTTCTTCTTTTCCAGCCAAAGAGAGATGGGGTGAACAAAAGTAGATTCCAAGCATAAATTTTACTAATGCTTCTGAAATATAAGAAACCATAAAATCATGACTACCAGAATCCTCAAAAGCTAGAGCAGCTACTCCTATTTTGTCCAAACGCATTTGGATGATGATCATTACCTTCTCAAACTCTGGAATTTCGATGGCAAGTGCGAAAGAAGAGACTGAAAAAAAGTATCAAATATTGGCGAGGTTAGAACCAGATAAATTTTTAAATTTCAGTGATCATAAATTACTCTTTTCATATTGTACTCCCTCAATTACAAATCGTCGATTGAATTTATGCATTGGCAAACGTGATAAAAGAAATGAGACACCTAATTTGAACAGTGGAAGTATTACGTATTAGATACCGTTTTTACAGAAAACAATTGTTTTATACATTTTGAAAGTGACTGGAAAATGTAGTAAGAATTAACTATCATCACTTACTCACATTGCACCAAAAAAAATCACTTACTACTCACAAAAGAAGTCAAAAGAACACAGCTAAGTTGATCTAACACTTTCTGTAGGAAGGGATAGAGGATTGTCACATATCAAAAGTCCCAATCATAATAATATCCAGTCACATCTAGAGTTGACTTCACAGTAATGACTAGAATGTTCACATATCAAAAGTCTATAAACAGAATAACCTCTTGACAGATGTTTACACATATGTTTTAGTAGCAAGGCAGAAGGCCCAAGCCAATAAAATCTATGTGATTCAGTACTGATTATGTCTCATGCACAATAATGTACAGAGTATATTACATCCCAGCTCTGCAATTTGCTGATCCAACCACGCGGCCCACTACCTAACAATTTGCCATATTTTGTCAAGAAATTGAGAAGTGCCCTAAGCCCCTAACCTAGCACAAGGCATTCCAGAGTAATTTTTCAAGGGAAAACTTTGGTCTAGTTCTGTTGCTACTATAAATATAGAATAAAATGAACCAATAAAATTTATCATGTGAAATAAATAACTTTAATACATCAAAAAAGTTTAATACGCAAATAGAGTCAATAATGGTAAATGGTTATCTAAGATACTGTAAAAAAAAAAAAAAAAAAAAAAACAAAAAAAAAAAAAAAAACAAACAAACAAAAACAAACAAACAAATAGAGCATAAATTATGAGACAGAAGGACTGTTAAAGGTTTACATTTTTTCAGGCCTATAAAATAAAACTCTTTAAGCTCCATCACTCCATCAGGGATCTACTGAAATGCAGTTGAGATTGTAGACCTACATAGGATGGAAGTCTAGGATTTATGAGGTTGGCTTAAACAGTGTTATCAAATCTGAACTAAACTATGCTCCTCTTCTGCGTACATATCACATTTTATGGCATAATTCAAACAAGTCAACAACTAAAACGTAGCATGGTATCTACTAGCCTATTAGTACAACAAATATTTACTCAATTGAAATAGCTTGATCAGATCCCCTATAAAAACTATAACCAAACTCTTGGAGATCTTTGCAGTTAATTCCATTGGCTAACTATTAAAATTCAGATTAGAGAAGATGGTTTTCAATGAAGATGCACCAACCATGGACATAAGCCACTAGACAATTCCAAATAATGAAAAATTTAACCTAAGGCCTACATTCTACAAGGGTATATATATAAGGGTTCTTTTGGAATGGGGAAAAACTGAAGGTGTACACAATGTTCAGAATTTGAAACCAAGAAATCTTACACAAATAACCTCAATATGAAAATCGGCACTTCAAAATCTCAGGTGAGTAGAATACCTTGTGGGCAGGTGGAAGCTTTCTAAAAGAACTTTCACATCGCTTAATGTCATCTTCAGCCGCATCTGGATAGCTGGGTAAGGGTCAGCAGTACACTAAATCAATTCAGAAGCCATTTTCAGCTAAAACTAGGAGTAAAGAAGCACAACAAAGACAACAAACAAGAGGCAACAGAATCCATAGACAAAGTTACCACTATCTAGCAAACAAACAACCCACACCACACCACACGTAACCCTAGTACAACTGTACAATGATATCAAGATCAGTAATTAAGCACATATTTGAGGACGAACACTTGTAACTTTTCACCCTTTAATCAATTAACCAATTTGATCATTGGTGCATCTACACAAAACTACGGTACATCCCAAACTTCCGCAAAATTATAGATACCCATTAATCAAATATTTCCTATTAATTACTTCATATTCAAAATCCTCCTACTTAATTAAACCCCAGAAGTTGAGTAATTATGAAGACTTGAAGAGAAGTTTTTTTTTACTTCTTCAACTGAAGACTAAAGTGCCTCAAGTTGCACCAAATCAAAATTTACAACATGCACATCATCCCACCAAAACACATCCTTTATCCCTCTCTCCTCCTTAAGTTCAACACCTACATTAACATTGACATACCAATCAAGATAAATTGCTTGTTTCCTTCCCTCAATAAACACACAAACAATTGATGTGAATGACCTGAATAAACACTTTTTATTGAATTTGGGTTAGATTCAAGGGATAGTCCCCAAACGATAAAAAGTGGCAAATGTTAGTCCCCAAATGTCGAATTAGCTCTCAATTTCAACAATATACTAAATAAGGACTTAATATTCAATGTGTTAATTTTTGGTGCATTGCTGAATTTGACATCATTGTAAGCAAACATCAACATCATTCCAATGCCAACAATCAACGAGGCGGAAGTCGAATGTACTCAGTCACATCCCTATGATATGCAACAATTATATACGCCACTATACCATTTTCAGTAAGTAAAAAAAAAAAAAAAAAAAAAAAAAAAAAAGTAACAATGTGAAGACAGTTAAACCAAAATTCAAAAAAATATCAAATCTTGTACAACTCCGTTAATCATAAACACTTATCATTATTAGCCACCTTATATCATAACGATTTAGTGATTTACACAGTAAAATAAATAAAACAAAAATAAAAAAATAAAAAAAACAATTACACTCCATTCTGCTTGCAAATAGTATCATATTTTCTAAATTACAAATACTGTTCAACAGAAATAAAAATCAACTAATTCAGCTATATATTGTAATCTTATTGTAAAACGAATACAATCAAAAGAAACATATATTAATTAATTACATAAATAAATATATAACTAAATAAAAATAACAAATAATATCGAATAAATGCTAATTCAAAAAAAAAAAAAAAAAAAATACTTGAGATAGGCGCTGATAATTCGACGGAGAGATTTGACTTCAAGAGCTTCTTCCAATTTTCGACGCCGAAGTTTTTGTTGTTCTTCATCAAACTCCATATTTTCGACGTTTTTTTGTGAAAATTGGATTGGATTTGATTTTGAAGTTGGAAGAAAGGTTTTTTTTGGTTGAGGTTTGTGCGGCGATTTGCTGACTTGGCAATTTCTATTATTTTTATTTTTTTCTTAAACTCAAACAAAAAAAAAAATAGAAAAAAGCCGACATACGGAAAACAATGAATAGTGGACTCCACAAAACCACATTCTTCTTCCCGTTTATGTTCCCGGTCACCTTTCTCTGTGTTGTGGTCTTGTGAGGAGTTAGAGTACTTCCATAGTTCCGTTCCATACAATGTAGAAATTGACATGTGTTTAATCTTTTTATTACTAGAGCAGCTAACGCGGAGCATAGCTAGCTATGTCCGGAAGTTTTTTGAGTTTGGCGTTGTTAGTAGCGTTAATTAGGGAAAATATGTACACAAATATTTTTAAGGGTATAAATGTCCACATGCTATCATACTTTTAAAAGGGGCAAATATATAAATTAACATTTTAGGGATATAATCGTCTCAACACTATTTATAAAATGTGGTTATCATTCTTTCTAAAAGAGGTAAATACGAAAATAAATATTTTTAGGGGAATAATCGTCTCAACACTATTCATAAGAGTTTACTCATACTTTCAAAAAGGTATGGATAAAGTGTGGTTATCATACTTTTAAAAGGAGTAAATGCGTAAATAAATACTTTTAGGGGCATAATAGTCTCAACATTATTCATAAGAGTTTACTCATACTTTTAAAAAGGTATGGATATACGAGGGCCCGGTTCAATTCACCTTTAAAAAATAACTAGTGTGTGGCCCGAGCAATGTCCAGGGTTGCTAGTTTGTACTTGTTTAGTTTGCTAATTTAGTATTTTGATAATTACATTGAAATTTCATGACTTAAAAAAAGATTTTTATTAGGGAAATCATATTCAATATTTGATATGTTATGATTTAACTTATCTTATTCAGGTTAACTATAATTTTGTTGGATAGAAAGAAATAATAAATTAATAGCTAACATAGTAAGACTTGAAACATAATACTTGTTGGTGACAATGTGGGCCTATGGCACATATTTTTTTCATAAACGCTTTTTAATATATAATAATAAATAAATAAATAAAATAAATATAGGTATAGATACTACCCTATATTCACTAAAATAATTTAAACTCATTAAATATAATTTCAATTTAGTAAAAATAGAACGAGTTCCATGAATAATGCTAAAATGTAAACTAATTCCTTATACACAATTTTTTAATTAATGCTGACTTTCATTAACTTATTGTAAGATGGGTTAAAGTTACCCTTGTATACTACAAAAGTTACCATTTTCTAACATAAATTTTACCTTAAAAAACACTTCAAATATATAAATTTTACCTTAAAAAACACTTCAAATATATTAGATTAATCACATAAGCATTCATATATATCATGTATCCATTAGAATATTACACATTAATATATAATTAAACTCATTACAAATTAAAAGTTACCCTTAAACTAATTAAAGTTACTATAAAAATTGTTAAAGTTATCTTCAAATTGACGGTCTTACAATAAAATTAACATAAATCTGCCTTATACAAGACTATTTCTCACAATACCGTACATGTAGGCTCGGTACCAAAGTTTGGTATTTGCCGGTATAAAACCACTAACAATGTTGGCGGTTCTACCGCTAATACCATGAGAGGTTCTATGGATAGATCCGCTAATATAATACCTCTTTTATATTAGCTTTCACTTCTACATATGTTGATGGTTCTAAGTTGCACCTACCTCTTTTGTATTAGCTTTCACTTCTATGGTTTTACCAAATTATATAGAACCTTTTGGTAGAACCGCTAATGGTATTGGAGGTTTTATAGAAAGTACCGCTAACATCAATAGAGGTTATATATTGGTTAGAACCGCCATCAATGTTGGCGGTTTAATACTAGCAAATACTGAACCTTGAAATTAAGCCTGTGTGGATGGCATTGTGATAAATAGTTTTTAACTAATGTATATAAGGAATTAGTTTATGTTTTTATATTATTCAGGAAAAACCCCTCGTAAAAATAAATTATAATTAGTAAAAAATAATTTCAATCCAATAAACTCAGTAATTTGAAGAAGAAATATAATAAAAAAAATCAGTAAAAATAATTTAGGTTTAGTCTAATTAATTTCAGTTCAGTAAAAATAATTTAACAGCAAAAATAATATCGGTTCAATAAAAATAATGCAAGTTCAGCAAAAATAAGGTGAAGTGAATATGGTCTTAATTTAACTTTAATTTAATTACTCTGTTCTCCGTATAATTTTTTACAAACATAAAATTGTTATCATAAAAAAGTTGATATAAATTATGCTATTAATATAAACTTTCATGGGTCAATTAACCACATTAGTATAAAAGTTAGCATTGTGGTGACAATTTGACACATTATATAAAAAATATCACCCGCAACAAATTGGTAAAGAAGTTAACATAGTAAATTGGTATAAGAGTTAACAAATTTCGACAATTAACCCTTTTTTTTATGATTTTTAAATTTTATACCAAAGTACAAGAATTGTGAGTGGGTCACTGTTAGGAAATATGGGTGGTGTTATATTATGTTTAATCATTGCATAATAAGTCCCGTTTGTCCATTTGATTCTCTCAAAGTCCATTTCATCTTTCCCTCGCGGTACTTGTTCGCTATCGGTCTCTCGCCAGTATTTTATATTTATTTTATGAGAGAAGTAATTTTTGGTATGGTATCAAATCAAATCTTTTTTCCCTCTTCATATCAAACATTATGTTTGACTACTTAATCTAATCTTTTATTTTATGAGAGAAGGAATTTTTTATTTTTTATTTTTTTTTAAATTTTTTTTTCCCTGGTTTCACTTTTTGTGTGATTAGAAAGAATCCAAGTTGCTTAATTTAGTAGAACTAGTCTAAAAAATGAGAACAAGATTTGATTTGAAGGAAAGGCTAAAATAGCCCAAAATGCAAGGTATTCAATCATTCTACTAGGATGCATTATAGATTAACAAATTGACAAGAATGAGGGGTGATGGATTTCTCTGGAGTTGGGGGTATTTTGGAGTTTTTGATTGTATGTTTAGGATGATACTTATAAGGGGGGACATCTTTAGGTGAATAATAAGTAGTAATATTATTGCAACTTTTATTTTTCTTTAGCTTATCTTTATAAATGTACCCAATATTATTTTAATAAATTCGTCTTAATGTATACCTTTAAATTAAACCATAACTTTTCTCTACTTTTTAATAGTTTGAATTAACACTTATAAATAGTGTTTGAACGATCATACCCTATAAAATGTTTATTTACTTGTCTGTCCTCATTAATGTCAATTGCCTTTTTTTTTTACACTAAAGTGTGTTTATATTATTTATACCCCTAAAAACATTTGTTTATATAATCTTCCTCATTAGTCTTACCAATAACTAAAGTCATGGCATAAGGCTAAATCGAAAAAACTTCTTGTTTGGGGTATAGAATGCCCCAGACACGTGGCCCTATGGCTAGGCGACGCGTGGCACCTAACCATTGGTCGGCAGGGCTCCAATCCCCTGTCGACACCTGTCCTAGAAACCCTAAGTGGGGAACCAAGTCTTCCCACTATAAATAGTGGGAGGCTCCTCATTAATGGGCATCGAATCAATTGCATTCAATACTCCCAAAAACCGAGCAATATTAATTGCGAAATTCTCCCGTTACGCGAGAAGTATTTTCACTATTCACGCATTATCTTCCTCCCGTACGTTACTGACTTGATCGTCGGAGGCGGAGCTCCAACCAACCGGGGTCTCCGTTATTTTGCGGGTACAGGCGGCGAAGGGCATTCTTGGAATTGTAACTCTCCCGCAGGATACATCAAAAGACCCCAAAACATTTGGCGCCGTCTGTGGGGAGAGTACTTCTGAGATGGCTTCCAACCCTGTACCACCGGATCAGGACAGGCGGCCATCGGCCGAGCCTGAGGTCCAGACGGACCATGAAAGCAGTGATGATTATGGACTCGACACTTATGTGGCCCCAGACGGGTCCTTCAGAACAAAGCACACCCGTTCCAGGGATAAGAAGGAACGGGACAACATCCAAGCCGCTCTAAGCAACCCAGCCGGAATACCGGTTGGAGCTGCGCAGGCGGCAGAGGGCTCTGCTCCCGTCACAAGGAACGAACTCATGACCTTCATGAATAGTTTCAAAGGCGAGATCCAAAACCTTATTCGGTCAGCTACTCCCAAGAAGAGTCAGCCGGCCAAGAAGCCTTCTAACAAGAAGGCAATCAAGGACCGGGTCCCTACCCCTCATCCAAAGCCGAAGGAGGGGGAGGGCCTCAAGTTCGATCAAAATCGGCTCCGCTTCCTACAGGCGGAACCTAGAAAACCCATCCGGCACTTGCAGCCGGATGGTTCAAAAAATATATTCTTGGACGCCCAGACGTTTCTCCAGGAAAAGATAAGTCACGCGTCTGCGTCGGCTTCAACGTCTACCTTTCCAGACAGTTTCCGTGACACCTCTAACAGGCGTACGGGAACGAGTCTAGGGAGTCAGACGGGCGAACCATCCGCCCGATTTGGACCCCAAGTGATCCAGCCTGGTCTGTTTGGTTCGCCGAATGGGCTGGGTGGATCCCCATTTACCCAAACGGGTCCGTTTGGCAGAAATATGCAGCAGCCGTTCCAGCTCATGGATTGGCAGCAGCGCCTGCTGAACTTGGGAGAACAGCCCTCGGCGTTCTCCCCTGAGATAACCCAGGCGGCACAGCCGGCTAAGATCAAGAACGTGTTGGTAGGGGCCTATGATGGTACCTCCAACCCAGAAGATCATTTAATGGCTTATTCCAACCTCATGTACCTACAGGGGTTGGATGATGTCGTCTGGTGCCGATGCTTCCCGGCTATTCTGAAGGGCATTGCCCAACAGTGGTTCGGTAACTTACCAGCCGGCTGCATCAACGGCTTCAAGACCTTGGCGTACTTGTTTACGTCAAACTTCTCCATGAACATCCCGGCTAAAAAGACAAGCCTCGATCTGGGGGCAATACAGCAGGGTGACAGAGAAGGACTCCGGTCGTATGTCAGGCGGTTCAATCTGATGAGAATTCAGATTCAAGGGCTGTCTGATGAAGTTGCTTACACAGACTTCTTTAAGGGTCTGAAGGATGGGTCAACCTTCAAGTTTGACCTCGTCCGGAAAAG